CCCCCCCCTGCATGTGTAAATCTCCCCTCTCTGTTGATTAAACTTGTCTTCATCATTAACTCCTTGTGCACGTTTTTCTGTCTCACCTCTTTTCCTCCCTTCTTTCTCCTCGTTCTCCTGCTCCTCCCCCCTCCCCTCTCGCTCCGTGGTGCATCATGGGACTTGTAGGCTTCTACGGTCTGGAGGAGTCGGACCTGGAAAAAGTGTTCCGGCTTCCCACCACCACCTTCATCGGAGGCTCGGAGAGCGTGCTGCCGCTGAAGGAGATCATCCGCCGGCTGGAGGTGAACGCGCACACAGACACACACACAGGAAGTGGAAGTTTAAATGGTTTACAGGAAAATGGACGTGTGCGTGTGTTGGTGCAGATGGCGTACTGTCAGCACATCGGGGTGGAGTTCATGTTCATCAACGACCTGGATCAGTGTCAGTGGATCAGGCAGAAGTTCGAGACTCCGGGCGTGATGCAGTTCACTCTGGAGGAGAAGCGGACGCTGCTGGCCCGCATGGTCCGCTCCACCAGGTCAGAACCCCCACACACGCAGATTTATCCACACACTGGTTTTATAGGCTGGAGCAGGAGGGCGGAGCAACAGAAGACCCAAAGATGGACCCTGAGGGACGTCAGCATCGTAAACCACCACGAGCCGTTTCTGACAGCTCGTGGTGGTTTTACCCGCAGCCAAACTCGGGCCCGCCTCAGCTCAGTGCTCTGCTGTTTCAGTCGTAACCAGTTTGATCCTCACGCTGGTCCCATCGATGTCTGCTGTGAAATCTCCAACACGGAGTCGTTGGGAAACACGGTGCGGCTGCAGTCTGTTGGGAATAACCTGCGTGTTCACCTGTGTTCAGGTTTGAGGAGTTCCTGCAGAAGAAGTGGTCTGCAGAGAAGCGCTTCGGCCTGGAGGGCTGCGAGTCTCTGATCCCCGCCCTGAAGACCATCATCGACAAGTCGTCTGAGAACGGCGTGGAGAACGTCATCATGGGAATGCCCCACAGGTAAAACCGCACGCTGCTGTTCTGTTACCCGACCGCACGCACGTCGATGACACCTGTGTGATGTCATCAGACGAGGCAGCAGCTTCCAGGAGAAATCTGCATCCAAACGGCGAGTTTAATGGCGTCAGCGCTCCTCACGCCGAGGTTACAAAAGCAGCATTTTAATGTATTTCTGCTTCAGTCAAAGACGAGAGTAAATACAGGCTCAGCTCACAGCTGCGTGAAGACGAACGCCGCGAGCGCTCCGTCATGGCCTCTGTGTCTTTCAGGGGTCGTCTCAACGTCCTGGCCAACGTGATCCGGAAAGAGCTGGAGCAGATCTTCTGTCAGTTCGACTCCAAACTGGAAGCAGCCGATGAGGTCGCTGTTTTTACCGCCGTTTGTTCGTTTACTCGCGGTTTTTCTTTCCCCGTCTGATCCAACCTGTCGTTTGTCCGCAGGGCTCCGGCGACGTGAAGTACCACCTGGGGATGTACCATCGCCGCATCAACCGCGTGACAGACAGGAACATCACGCTGTCTCTGGTGGCGAACCCGTCTCACCTGGAGGCCGTGGACCCCGTGGTGCAGGGGAAGACCAAAGCCGACCAGTTCTACTGCGGAGACACCGACGGGAAAAGAGTAGGTC